CTTAGTTGTACAGGAACCAGGTGTTACTAGCCTGGGTGTAGTATTAGGATCAGAGTGTTTAAATAGATAATCTTCTAGTAGATTACAGGTATGGCAGCTAGTGTAGAACCTTTGGCCAGACTACTTAAATTAGGTAACCAAAAGTTACACTGTGGCTAGTCTGCACACTCACCTTGTACAAGTTACATGTAATGCATTAACTAAAAATACAAATAAAGGCAGTAGCCCCGTAACATCGGCCTTAATAGTAAAAAAAAAAAAAAAAAAAAAATATATATATATTACAAGTTCAATATTACTAAATTTTTTTTTAAATACTTGCCCAACATGTTTAGTGCTATAGTGTAATTAATTTATACATATATATATATAACTTGTAATTTAGTATTATTAAATCAATAACTTAACCAAATTAGTTAAAAAACTATTTTATAAATTGATAAAAATAATTTTGGCCAAAATTTGATAAATTTTTGAATTTAGTATTATCGGTATTAGATTTTTGTCATTACAGTAATTCAGATAACACAAAAGTTAAAAACTTATCAAGTTTAGCCAAATAATCATTAGCTAATTTTTATTTTTTTTTTAGAATTTATGAGAATAGCTTTAAATTTATATTCAGATTTAAATTTGAAAATAACTATTTTTACCCTATTTTTTGCTAATGCCATCTTTCAGATATCAAAAAGTGCTTCAAAATAGATATTCTTATTAAGTAAATCTTTTTTAATATTAATAAAAGTTGTTTATTAGACTTTTCTGGTTTAATTAGTAGTAAAATCATTATACTCAGACCAGTAGTTTCTATTTTTTTTACAGTCTATAAAACAACTTAATGGTTGGTAAACTATTTATTAAGGTTTCAGGCTTCTATATATTAATAGAAAGGTTTATAGTAACATATTAATAAAGATACAATAAACTACATATATAATTTTAGTCATTGTTTATTTAAGAGTTCTGCCTATAGGTTCTTACTTATTGCCATATCTAAGACCTGCTTGTGAGTTTTCTATTTAAGCTCTCTGATTTTTAATATTATTCTGTTCACCTGAAGGTCAATTAGAAGTTATATCCAACCTTCAGACTACTTTACCTGTGAGATAGATTCTACCAAAGAAAGTAGTTCCTACAACCACACCTTATTCAGATTTTTTGTGCCAAAGGTGATTCAATATTAGATAAGGCTAATTCTTTTCCACAAATATTGATAACATTCTCTATATTTCTCACTATAGTAATGTCTATGCTCTGCAATACTGGTTTCTTTCTGTGAATTTTTTAATCCAAATATGTACCTTCACTTGAACTTTCACAGGGTTTCACATATAATTATAGGTTTCTTTTTAAGTTACAGAGTGTTTTACCTCCAGCCAAACTCGAACTATCAACATTGTCTGTGAGGAGATGGAAGCTTATCCACTAAGCTATGAGACCTGAACCCCAGACCAGTAGTTTCTAAGATATTTATATCTAAAATTAGCTAACTTTCTTTCACTTTTTTAAAAAAACTACCAGTCTGATTTTAATAAATTTACAATCATTAGAACTGGAATAGTCTGATGAACAACTTTTATTAAGATCAAAAGGTGGGTTTCTTAATAGCAATATCTCTTCTGGAGCACTTTTTTAAATTTTAGGGAGTGGCATTAGCAAAAATGGGGTGGAAATAGCAATACTCTTTAAATTTATATCCGGATTTAAATTTATATCCGGATTTAAATTTATATCAGGATTTAAATTTATATCCGGATTTGTATTTATATCCGGATTCCGGATTTAATTTTATATTCAGATTATAATCATATCCGGATTGATATTATCTAAAAATTGGATCCGGATTTATTTAAAATTCGGATTAATCCGGATTTATTTATCAATCTGGGTTGAGATGCAACTTTAGTTGAATCTAATATGAGTAATTATTTTTGAATCCAGACTAAAATGTTATTACTCTATATATATAAATTGGTCCGAGTTCAAAAATAATTGCCCATATTGTATCGTGTGTAATTTGTTTAAAGTTAAGAATTAGGGTTAGAGTTCATGATAAAAGTATAAGGGTATATGTGGATTTTAGTAGGGTTTATATTTTCAAATCAAGCATTAAATTTAAGTATCTTCGTCATTTGTTAACAAATTAATAGTTAAATAATGCCTTAATATTGTTAACCGTTTAAAACAAAAAAGTTCTAATTTTTTATGTTATTACTGTATTACACTAAATCATAGCGTTTATATTAGCGCAACTTTCATGTAGTCGCGTTTACGTGAAGATTGCACTAGGCATCAATAATATATAATAATGGCTAGAATTGTTCAAGCAATCATACATTTTTAATTTTCGCAAGTATTCACTATTAACCAAATTTCTTACCAACTATATTTAACCGAGTCAAATATATATAAATTTTCCTCCGCATTATCAATACTAGAATATTTATTAGGAGTAAACCACATATATATCAATCCATTTTTATCCACTACAGTCCGGGGTCTTCCCCGGCCGGGAGAAAGATTAGAATTTTGTGTTTCGTTACGTTTTATTAGTGCATAAGACACTGGATTTGGGCTGATGCTAATTTTGATAAAATTATACTATCATTCATAACGATAAAGGAAATCAAATATTAATTAAAAAAAAAACCATTTGTACATTATATTTAATGACTACCCACTTTATCATTTGTCATAAATATAAAAGCGGTTTGATCAATTACTACAGCATTTCCATAAAACTCTGCGTATAAGTCTGGCATATCTGTTCTTATAAGGTAAAAAGGTGGATCCGTAAGTTTGAATGGTCCCTGACCAAGTTCAAGGTAGAATAGATCAGTTGTAACGCCTCCTCCAGTATAAAATATCCTATCACCGATGATAAAGTTTGCGGTATTCGACCTAAGTGGTAATCCTTCTGGTGAATAATAGGCATCTCCCACACTTGCGATAATAAGTAAAACGAGAATCAAATTAACGAACATGATCAAATTCTAATTAATGTTTGTGAAAGATTTTTAGTACAAAATAGACTTTAAATTAATTTAAGTCGCACGTACAGTATTACATAATATAATGCATATAATCGGTACAACAGAATTAAAATTTCTTTATTGCGGTTTGCAAAAAGGTGTAACCTCTGCAAATCCATGTCATGTAAAATCACGAGAAATTAGGATTAGGATTCAATGAAAATTTTACAGATTTCAAAATAAATATAAGTATTACTTTTGTTTAAAGAGTGAGGCCTAGCCTCGATCTTTATTGAATAATTATGCGTTACACTGTTTAAAATAAATTACATGAATTATTACAGGGACCTACAGCTAGGAATATAGGTATTACTGATTGAACATATGATTGACAGATTATTTAGAATATCCGAAATTTCACAAAAATTGTGGGGTCACACCTTTTTACAAGCTGATATAGTTTAAGTGACCTGGTCGGTTGTCTGCATTAATGTAATGTAAGTTAAATATTAAACTTAGGTCAAAACTTGATTATTATTTCTTTGTATTATAATAATACCAGTATGATCACATGAATGTGTAACATGAAATGTAAGAGGGATGGTTTATTTAAACTTTATCGATGTCCACCCCATGTGATTTTCGCAAATCATTTTGATTGGTTGTACCGAAAAGCATGATTTTGATAT